ATATAAATATTGATGCATACATTATTATCAAATATACCAAATTATTCGAGTCAAACAAGTTTGAGGTAATTTATGAGTCATGTGACTTGTTCAGTACCAATATAATGTTTATAGACACGCCATCGATGTGACTCATACATTAATAAACGGCAAATTGTTTCAGATAATATATATATAAATTATAAGTATAATAATATTATGTTAAATTAAATTACATATGGATTAACCATAACTCATAAGACGCATTCTGCACACTTGCGTTTATTTTTAATTGAATAAACGATTAACAAACGAAGAGCGCTCTGCCTTGGCGCTTAGATTGCTGGTTTGTTAAAAAAAAAAAAAAAAAACACCATCGAAAAACATAGTGTCATTGAACTGTATAAGCTGAAACGGTGGCATCATACGTAACAGACTTATCGATTTAGTTCCGTTGATTATTCACGAACGAGATTTGTGGTGGTAAGTATGCTACTGCTTAGAGTTGCGTGTGTTTCGTGCGGTACCTATACGAGTATTATGAAAATGTGTAACATATTGACCAATGCAGTGTATTATAATTTGAATGTAATAATAAATTATACATTGTTTATAATAATAAAAGAAGACCGCAAATAAATTCGAAAGTTCTTAAAAGTATGAGATAAAAGCTTATTATACAGGGAAAATTCTTTTATAAGCTAAAAAAAGACAGTTAAGTACAGAATATGATGATGTTCATTGAAAATTTCTCATAGAAAAATAGAATATTATTTCAAATACGTAAACAGTAAGTATCTATATGTATTAAACATATTCAATTTTGCATATTAAATAAAAACTTTAAATAAAATAATATAGGTAAGTACTGAAATTGATGTATAACTTAAATCATAATTGTATTATTAATGACTCCGCGGAAATTGCATTGCAAGGGTTGGAGGTAGTCAAATTGTGTTACTTTGTTACTTTAGATGGTTTAAAAATAAAATGGAATAGTGTCAGAAGCATTTTATTGTATACCAAATACTAACTAACCCASTCATAGGCACAATATAATAAAACTCAAGAATTAGCAGAGCTGGGATTATGTAAAAATTGGATTTTTTTCTCAACCATTGCAGTCAATATCTTTGCTATATACATAATAAGTCGGTATCATTTTAAAATTTGAAACTTTATTGATAAGAGTATTTTTATTAGATCATAATAAAAAWTTTCTACAGCCAGTGGTTGTGGTAGTGATAAATTGCGTGATAGTGCTATCACCTGATTAGTTATTTCAACGAATTTTAATTAATTGGAACTAGTAGTTTTTATATGATAAATAAATGAAACAGTTTTTTAAAATAGGTTTTTCCTCCCGGCAATATAATATTGTTAAAGGCGTTAAAGCGTGTATAAACCACGTACACAAAGACGTATACAAATTTATGAAATTATTGTAATATTATATTTTCTGTATACTCTATGTTGTTGTGTCATCGTTTAAAATAATGCGAAACGTCAACGAGCTGCTGGAATATATATTGCACAGACCTTTTGATAACCGCAATAAGCTCCGTGTACGAAATTAATGTTATAATCTTATTCCTCAAACGTATTTTATTCGTAACTGTACATTTAAGTATTTTGATTTATTTATCGTACAGACACTACCGTGATTATTTTTGTTGTCTTCGAAAAAATTAAAATGGATCAAAACGACGAAAACAGAAATCTCGTGCAAAACGTAATTTTACATAATAACACGTATATCATTTTAGTATTATTATCCATCGTAGTTTATAAGTAGAYATGGTTATTATCGCATGTCAGATGTATAATAATATCTACGTTATTTGTTTTGCGTTAATCTAGGTCGACAGGATTGGTAAGCGAAAAGTGTTGCAGAGCTTACAACCGTGCTGTAAGGATAGAACAGTTTTAGTCAGCACCGGAATGCCTCAAACAAGGTATGGAATAATGTACACTATAATAATATATGGATTAGTCGAATCGATAAAAAAAAAAAATCCTATATGATAATTATTTGAAGGTGTTTTTTGGGTTATTGTTGATATGCACAGGGTTAGCGGAAATGTGGTCAATAAATATCGGGTGTTCGGCAAGTTCAAAGTTTTTGTTGAAGAAAAAGATGGAGATAGTGGATAATCTATTACATA